TTATATATAATAAACCATGCAGCAAACAGTGATAATACAAATACTTAGATAAAATAGCATAGATAATAATTTTAGTATTTTCTTCTCTCACCACCAACAGATTCACAGCTCATTTCCTCTAATTCATGCCCTTTACTCTGTGAATTACCTTACCATTCCATACTGAAAAAGACTTGATCTTCTGGGTCATCATGTGGTGTATTTCTCCATGAGGCTCTTGAGAGCATTGCTGCTGAGCCTAGACAAGATAAAATTAAGGTGCACATTGACCAGGATGTAAAGATTAATATAGTTATTTGTATTACTTTAAAAAAAATAATCTCAACTGCCAGAATTAAACTGATAGTTGCCTTCAACATATCAAAAAAAGGCATTTGTTTTTATCTGAATTTTAAACTTTCTTTTTAATTTTTATTTGATGACTTTGGAATCTTTGCAATGGAAGAATCATGAAATTTGAAATAATGCATTGCCAAACTTGGAGTAATGGAATAGAAGAAAAATTTACAGAGGTCACTTCTAGTTTGTTCACAATACAAAGGAGAATTGGGTTCTATGTGATGCATTAAAAACTTATGAACCTCTGTGCACATCTCAGCATTCACTATGACATCCAGGGACACGAGGGCTGAGGGTGACGCTCCTGAGCACTGTTATTAAACAGATACTGCAGATGAAGTTTACTCTTATTATATTGGCTTTTACCTTGAACTTTACTTTATATTGTAAATCCCAATCATAGACAGTGATAGGAAAAACCATTAAATATGCCAAGAAAAAAAGACATCATAAAGCATGAAAGCACAGATCAGACATCTGAATAAAATATAAGGAGTATAATGAAAAGAAGGAGCCATTTACAGGAACCCAAAAGCTATGTTGCATAAGACAAGTATGTTATTTTGAAGAAAAGGTATAGTTTGGTTAAATAAATTCTCATCTTTATTACAATATCTAATTTTTAGAGTAGTGTAGTTTTATAAATGATATCACTTGAGTAGGAATTTTTGA